ATTTCTAAAATTATCATATGGACTGGGAGAAAATGTAAAGAGCAGTATTTTATCCATGTTTTTTCTAATAGGTTAATATTAGTATATGAAGAAAAAAACTTAAAGTTTATTATATATATTCAAGATTAAAATAACATTTAAATCTGCGAATTTGTGAGATGATAAAATGTTATCAAATAATCCAGATATTTTTGTATTCTATTTTGATTAAAAAAATTCCCTTATAGTTAGTTTTAATTAAATAATAACTCTATTCGCAGAAATATTTGAAAAATCTTTTATACAATATAAAATCACAGAAAGAAAAAATACCAAATGAATAGATTTTTTTTAATAATTTGTAAAAAAAAAAGCTTTCCTGAGTAATTTAATCACATAATTCAATAGAAAAGATGAGTATTTCAACTTTCACTTCATTCATTTTCAGTAATTTACAATAATTATTATTTATATCGAACTTTTTAAAACAATAACCTAATGCTTTTTATTGTTTTGATGAAATTTAATAATCAATATCGAGTTTGATAAATAAGTTAAAATAGTTCAATTATAACACAATTTGGTATAACTTTCCAATGTGTGTCCCTAAAGTAATTTACCAAAAAATATTTTCAGTAGAATTATTCGGTTTAGTTCCGACGCTCGATAATTATAAATTTTTTCTATGAGTAATACATCATCTATTGAATTGTATTTAATTTAATATTAACTTTAGTTGCACGTACATTGTATCCGTACTTCTATTCATCGTGACTTTCACTATGTAATGTGCATGATATAATGACTGCACTATTGAATATCAAGTTAGAGTGACTACATGTAATGACTGTGTAGCTTCAACTATATTGACAGAGCTTTTATAATGAAATTTTCCAGGTTATATTTTTTTAAATAATAAAGATGTTACGACGCACAGTATTTTCATTTAGTTCAAAAGAAAATTAAATCATCACAAATTGCGTTTATGATTATTTTAAATTTGCTAGCTCCAATTTAATTTATTAATTGAAATGTATCAAATAAAACTTGAAAATTTCATTTAACTGATTAAAAAAAATGTCATTTCTTTAATTTTTGGTGAAAGTCAAAGGCTCCACTCTGACATTTTAATTTTCATGATAAATATAAAATGTAACAGTAATAAATAAATAAACTTCATAAGATAATTATAACCTCAATGGTTTCGTTAAATATCTGTTATTTTTAATTTCAAATTAACCACTATATATTCTAGATGTCTGTATCAGTGATTTCTATGACGTAGAGTTAACAAGCTATGACCGTCGCTTATTATTCTAGTGCACTCGCTTGCAACCCAAAAATCAATAAAAATATCACAACATAAAATTAAATGGTGGAAAATATGATTACCAAATAATTTTATTAAAAAAAATTGAAATTGAAACCCGAGAAATATCAATTTCTATTTATATTGATTGAATTTATTTAAATTTATGTAATATAAACTTGATTGTATTTTCAGAGTTCAAAGCTCTTTAAAAAAATACTTGTCAATCATTCAATAATGATGAGAAAATTTAATGACATGAACTGAAATAAACCATTCAAATTTGTAGCAAATTTCATGTTCATTTTGTTAGAGTATAGATTGTTCTTATTAATTTAATATTCACATAAAATTACATACGATCAAATATATATATCGTTGTCAACTTCAATAATGATGAGAATAATGATAATAATAATTCTATTATTTTACAACTTACATTAATATTGTAATCAATTGTTTTCTTTGCTAGTTATCACATATACAATGCCACAACAAGCTAGTATGTCATTCAGCAACATTGAAATACGTAAAAGGCGGACATGTGGCGATAGAATGTGAATATATGCCACATGTATTGTGTTTATGAAGCTGAGTGATAAACGGTTGCATGAGTTTTAAAAAAATCCTATATAATGTTATGACTGTTTTGAAATAGTGCATTTAAAAAAATTTAATTTTTTCCTACATAAATATCAGAGAAAAAGCTAGTTTTGCAAGAATTTTATAATTGCTTTGAAAAAAAGCTTACATTATTTGTGTTGTCTTACTATTTTTATTGTTCATTTTATGATTATTTTAATCAATGTTTCTTGTTTGCCTTTGTAAAATGTAGCAGTTTATGAAAATTGGAGAAAAAAAAATTTTAATTGCGTCATCTGTAGAGTGAAGTATTTTTTTTTTTACGTCAAACAATGCATTTTATATGAAAAAGTGAAATTACAATTTATTAAATTGTAATATTGAATTTATAAAAATTTATCGGATGAATTTTTTATTTAATAAAAGTATCACTATTATAATTCATTCAATTCTTTTGAAGGATTACTTTGATTGCAATGATTGGATACCGACTGAACCGCAACCGTTGACTTTAATTGAAATAAATTGCTGACAAAGTCAATTTACTTTCTGGTTCAAAAAATATGAAGAAGAATAATTTATTTTATAGAAGTTAGAAATATATAGAAATCATATATTAAAAGTAGATCAAATATTAATATATTTATTTAATTAGTACAATTATAAAATAATAAAGTACGTAAAAAAATTTTATCATGCGACATTAACTCTATTTTTATTTTTATGATTGATAAATAATATTTATCACATTTCGGTTATTGACGTAGATATTTTTTAAGTCGCGATTGTTATCTATTTATCAAATTAAAGTTAAATTTAACTGATAAATGTATTTTATTTGTTTCTGATAGAACACAATGTTATGTTGAAAGTGATTTCCGCAATAAAATATTACACTGGTGTAACAAAAGTATGCTTCACAAATAAAATAAATAAATTTTCATGCCAAAAATCCGGTATTGTTATATTTATACGATTTCATTCCTATGCTTCTTTTATTTTGGAAAGAAAAAAAAAAATAAAACAAAACTGTTATTTTTTTCCCTGAGGGTCTGTCCTAATGAGAATCCTCATCATATTTTCTTTTTACTACTGATGAAAAAAGACCCTGTGAAACCTCAAGGTTTATGATTTATAATCATTACTACAAAAGTCGCTGCAGTAACATTGGATATAAAGCATTACTTCTCTCTCAGGTTCTTTATTTTAATTATTTAACCTAAATCCCCTGAGAATATTTTCAGTAAAAATTTACTCTCGAGTACCCGCACACAAGCTGGAACGGAATTTGAAAAATGAAAACTAGCTACCTCTGAGTTAGGCTATATAGCATGTAAGCTCCATACTTTTGTGAACTTCTTCGAATAATAAACATAGAAGAGGAAAAAAAAAGAGAAAAAAGCCTCAAAAATACATCAACTGCCAGACGTTTAACCTATTTGAATATCTTTTTTCATAAAAACTGCCAAAAAATACAAACTTCCCATAGAAAGAATTTTTTCCAATTTATGAAGTATACTGAGGATTATCCGCTATTATTCATGTTTGAACATTTAAATAATGAAAAAGAAAAATTCTTGCTATATTAAAATTCATAAAAACGATATATAAATGAGAGAAATTGGTACGTCTACTTTGTATTAATCTTAACGTAATTTTAATGATGAAAGAATGTCGGAATCAACTAAAGATTTACAACAACTGAAATATGAATGGCAGTAGTATGGAATGGAGTTGTATATTCTAATCGAATACTGGCTAAATTATTACATGTATTCTCAAACTTATAGTCTGACTTGATGCTAACCAACCATTGTTTAATCCTTGTGCTGTATTACCCATATCGGCCTTGCTGTGGTTTTTGAGCTTGTGTATAGACCAGTTTATATCCTATCTGACACTCCAACCCACCAACACAAGTGCAAAGGCTATCAACGAAAATTCGCGCGGAAACGTGCACGAATTCGAAACTACTGATTTGGGAATAGGAAAACCACTTGATAATCGAAACAAGTAGCATTGAATCTATGTAATGATTTTATAGGGTCTATATAATAATTAAAATATTATAATCTTCGTTATAATTATAATATAGAATCGAAGCTTTTTATTGTTTTAATGAATAAAGTTGAAGAAAGGAAGTAGTATTCAAGTTAAATTACGAGAGAAAGTTTGAAATAAAAATTTTCTCGTCGCCACATCGTTATATTGCTTTTCTTATGATGTACTTCACAAGTTGTACAAAAACTTAAAACAATAAAATCGTTATTTTTACAAATTCTACATTTTGTTTCTCTGAATATTACGTAATTGGTTTTTTTTAACAAATTCATTTTTTTTCAATAAACTGTACGAACATTTGAGCTATTTGAATATTCTGATTTATGCATATATAGTGGGTAGACAGGTATATTTTTTACTAGGATGCAGATTGCAAGAAATATATTTTAGAATGATGCTTTGCGTTGCGGCACAGTATTGAAACGAACCCTGCTGAGTCCTTTGATAGAGACCCGTACTTTGAACGACATGCTCTCATATATGTTTTAACTGTCACCACTACGTTGTAAAGCCAGATGAGGATATTTTTCATCTACCACCACTATTTTATTAAAAAAAAACCAACAAACTATACTGCAAATTCATAACTCAGCCAAAGAATATTAAAACAGAAGTTTAGTGCTGAACTATATGTAATGTGGCTAATTATGTATATATTATTCAAAGTAATTCAACACTATGTGTAAATTACTATTGAGTGAATATATATTATTAATTAATCGTATACGTTGAACAAACATTTCCACTACATTTTATAAATAATCATGATTACAGAGAAGAAACTTTCACAAATAAAAAATCCACTTGACGGAATATTTTATTTCTTTTCGATTCAATTTTAATTGACAGTAATTGTGTTAAAGAATTATTTTAATTAATAAATAATAGAAAAATAATTTATTAAAATAATTAAATTTTTAATTTCAACAATTATCATTAAAAGAAAAAATTTTCACACTAAATTATATTTTCTCTCTTGGATTTTTTATAGTTTTTAATCCTTCATCAACTAATTAATTTTGTACTTAATAAAAAAATGTATGAGTCCAAAAATGATGATTAAACATACCTGTAATATTCTTGACAATTGTTTACTTTACATTTTAATGTGACAAATGATGGTTGCGAAAACAATGTTCTAAATAAAATTAACAATAAAACTGTTAGGCGTGAATGGAAAAAAAGTGAATGTGTTGATGAGTTGATTAAATACAAAATCGCGGTGGAAGTAAACATGCGATGATAATAATATCGATATAGACCGCGTCTAGAGCGCGAGTAGAGAATCGCGAATACTGAACGAGCATGTAGCGAAGGATGAGACGACGTGTTCTACCCCCTTCCAAAGGTATTCTATTTCGCGCCCGCGCGTCGGCTTCCGATCGAGCCAAGTCATCTATTGGATATGACCAAGAGCGCGGCGTACCCCACGTCATGCTTGGAATTCAATAGTCTGACAACAAGCTCGCAGCTTTAAGATAAATGTAGTCAACCTTTATCATAAACAATAGAAATATTCCTTTGTTGCTCTTTCAATTTATTTTAAAATTATTAAAGTAATATTCATTTACTTATTTAACTTCTTCATTTTCTCCTACAAACTAAGAACATGCTTGTTCTCAATTTAAATAAGAAAAATAATTGTGTTTTGAGTAATAATAATAGTAAATCTTGTGCTATTATGTTTATTACAAATATAAACAGTTGAGAGATGTTATTTGACAAAAATAATTCAATTGTGAAAAATATTAATCCACAAGTATTAAAGTGACTGAAGCTTAAATATTTTCAATCTCTTGTTTACACTATTATATTTATTTTTATATTAATGTTTGTATGTAATATCGATCGTTTTCATAACAAACAACCGCATAATAAACGTTACAACTATTATTGGAGCATAATTTGGAATTTAAGTTAATCTATAATTATCATCATGATTATAATTGAATATCTTTTTTTACGTAATATATTTTAATTCAATTAAATTATTAATAATAAAATATTGAAATTTTTTACATACAAAAGAGTTTTGTAAAGTTTTCTAAATTCTTTTTCCAACATTTTTTATATACTATGAATTTTCTGAGATCCTTTTGAAAAAATTAAGGGATTAAGCTTTAATAAGTCTGACGTCACTTTAAAATGTGAACCTTTCCATCAAAACTTACTCATTTATTTTCTCGGTTTACATTTTATTAATTACAGTATCTGAAAGTGGTTTCTGTAGGGTTTTGCAAATATTTATATTTTATATGAATGAAGAGCATAGTGAAGAAATTGTATTTTCGAGCAAACATAGTAAGTGTACATTCGAGGTAATATGAAGCAAGCTACTGGCAGCCCGAATTTCATCTTGTTATACACGTCAAAAACCATGTAATTATTAAACATATAAAAAATACCAAATTCTTTAATACCTCAATGTTTTGTAGCAGTTTTTATCTCGACATTTTTACTTTTAAAAAAATAGGGTTCATTAGAGACACCTGGAACAAAACCGACCGAACGTGATGAAAAAAAAGCACGATTTTTTATAAAATGTTTCCAAAATCACGTTCCACCAAATTCATTCCGGTATTTATTGATTCCTCACACGTATGCTAAATAACTAAAGTTTTGTTAATGACGTTTGCTCTGTTTTCCTCCATACAAGAGGGTCTTATTAGCCACCCAAGTCACTATTTCTTAAATTTATCGTCACAATAACTAACAACTAACGAAATATTTTTTTTTACTACCCATTCCCTAGAGTAAAAAAAAATATTACGACATTCACTTAATTAATCCAATAGCATTGAGGTAGGATAAAATAAATCAGATCAACGTACATAGAGTATTTTCATCTATAAAGCATTTCAAATAAATGTAAAAAATTTTTTTTGAAATCATTCAAATAAAACTTAATCTCCAGAACTAGTCTTCTATAAAAAAATTACATTCAAAAGGTATACTAGATTCAAAGTGATTTGTTTTTTGTGAAATATATAATCTTCACATTGAATAGTACATGATGGAATTACTTCATTTCTTCAATATAAAAATGCATATTTGAATGAACAGAAAAGTAGAGCATTGATAGAGTTTACACAATTGTATTTAGAGCTTATGCTGATTGAAATATGTTACATAATCGTTTCTGTCACAATATTATACAATTCGTATTACATATTAATGTCATTACTTTAGCAAAATTCAAAAAAATAATAATAATTATTATGTTGTTTATTACTATTGAAACAAATGGTTTTTCATGGCGAACTTGACGAATTGAAAGCGACTGACTCAATATACTCCACTTATTTACATTCACTATGGCATGTAATTTTTTATTTCACTGTTCGAAACAACCCTGGATATAAAACTAATCCCAATTGTTCGTTCCATGCCTGTTACGTGTTTTATTCGTACATTTTTTCTGAGATCCGGCTCATACATATATAAAATCGGCTCACCATTTGACTTTTTAGGACTCAGTTTAGTCCCTACGAGGAATCCTTATAATCTCGTTTTGTCTGTCTGTCGGTCACGATCTCTCAGCCCCTAAAGTAACCACTTCGTAATGAAATTTTATTGGTTGATATTTTTTTGTGAGTTCGAAAACGAGCTATAAAAGATAAAAGAAGTAAAATATCTTAATTTTGAAATTTTCCGCACGAATTTGCGAAAGAAGAAAAGAAAGATGAAAATTCTTTATTCATCAGGGAAAGTATCGCTGGAGAAATCTCTTGAGACTCAACTCAAAGTCGTTCTTTTTCAAATTAATTTTTGGGTTGCGTCAGTCACTTGTTATTAACTTTTGAAATCGTGTGAAGTTTGCACTTTTTCTAGAAGTTTTCTTTTAGCTTGACTTAATGTTTTTTTAATACTTAAAATATTTTATTTTTATCTATTTTTATTATATTATTCAATATATTTTAATCCCTTTTCAAGTTGTATTACTGAATATATTAAAATAGTTTGCCGATCAATTTACTCTCGATGAATTTCAAACAAATTCTCCCATCTATTAAACCTCACAATTTTAGAGATTCATCATGTGATTTCCATAAAAGTTGACCAATAAAAATCTGTTTTTGCCCTTAAACTTTATTCAATGAATCAGTCAGGAGTTTAATTGAATTAAATAATCGAGAGAAAAAATTTCAATGTCAATAATAAAATTAATGATCATTGATATTAGAATAAAATTTAAAGATATGATCAATAATTATCCATTTATTTGTATTCGAACCATTAAAAATTCAATCAATCCGTTAATGAGAATATCACATAATGATTGGATAATATCAATTTTTACAACAGAACCATTCACTACAAGCTATTACCACCAATTAAATAAAGTTTGAATGGGAAGTTTAATTATAAATTTGCTAGCTTTTAATATTTACTCCTTTGTAACTTTGAAATTAAATGACAATATTGATCCGATAGACAAAACTTTAGAATCACACATAAATAAGCAATTAGACATTAAATAGGATTTAATAAATAATTGAGTGTGAAAGGATTTAAATATTTCACGATCATACTTTCATAGTCTATCGACTCTATTAGACACTAGAAATTGAAGCTTCATACTACAAATTAAATAATAACAATGTCTCAATATGTACCTTGAATATAAATAACAATACAGAAGAAATCATATATCTATACTTTTTGCTGTAACAAACGATAACACAACGAATAATAGGCTTAAGCCGACAGATTTGTAATAGGAATATAAATGGAAACGTTTTCACCTACAGTCTTGTAATCCAATAGGCACGTAAAAATTTATAGTTTGCTCGAAAAGGCTGGCAGTATGCCAGTAATTCGGTCGGACTTTTTTTGGAGAACAGGTACATTCATTGCATCTATTGCATAGTAACCAATGGATTTCTCTTTAGGGTGACAATGCAACGAAAACAAAATTATGGTGTGTCAACCATTAAGAGTTAATAGTTTCAACTCTTCCATCTTTAATTTTTTTGTTCAAGTACAAGTTACAATTTTGCACATGAAAAATCACAATAGAAATATTCTTTTTTTTTTAAATTAACAAACATCTTTTTAGCACAAAATTTATTATTTAAATTGTTGATTCAAATTCCGTTTGTATTTTCATGAAAAATAAATAAAAAATTCTCTACGTCAGTGAAGTATATCTCAAAGAGCATTTTATTCATCTGAAAATCAGTATTAAATCCAAGAAGAAAAGAAAAGGTGTGGAAAAGTTAAAATTTATTTCCTGTATAATATTCTCTCGTGTATACAAACACAATATTTATTTTCTGATTGAGATATTATTAAATAATAAAAATTATTATGATATTAAATGATTATTTTGAATTCCACAGAGATACGACATGCACTGAAGATAATAAAGATTGAAAATAAAAAAATATTTTTGATCAGTTTGTATTTGGACTGATTATAGAGTCTACTTGTGTCCACAGTTTTGCTCACGTTTGACGTCTCTACTAATTTCCCATGCAACTTAGCATAAAGGTAAACAAACTCGATTATAGATGGAAATAATTGAACTATAAATAGAAATAAACCAAGTTAAAACCAATTCAGTGATTCTCGAGCTATGAACAAGCAAACAGAGATTTGATTCTATAAATACTGGAAAATTGGCTGAATTACTAACTAAATTAGATCCTTAGGGAAATGAATAAATAGTTTCTTTCTTGAAAAATTAGTTTCACGGAAGTTGATCACATAATCACATCATGCTCACCGTTGGTTTACGATGCTAATTGAATGATTACATTAATTTCTGTGAATCTATCAACTTTTCACTTTTTTTGTATATTGTAATAAAAAAGATAATAAAATTATTTATGGTTAAACTTTGTTGTTAACGAAGCTAATTACTCGGCATAAGAGTAAATTTATAGTAATAAACTTTTTTAATAATGAATTTAATCCTTTGTAATTCTGTACTCATTTTGAAAATTATTTAAAGTAAATAAATATTGTTTAACTCATTTGCATGTTGTTTCAGCGAAAATTCAAACTAATTAATTCTGATGAATCGTATAAATTTTCATTTAATGTTAAATTTGATTTGATTTAATCAATATAATATGATGAACGATTTTTTAAGCCGAAAATAATGTTGATACGGTTTTAAACGGTTGTATTTTTACGAGCGACAGACGAAATTGGGATTTTTTTATTCCTGAAACGCTTTCGAAGTTTACTGAAAGTTTGAAAATTTTATTTTACTTTTCCCTAAATTTTTTTAGAGATGTCAACGGATGATAAAAAAATTCTAGAAGAAAAAGAACAGAAACTGGGGAGTACAAGCTTCAAAA